AGGACAGATGATGGAAGCAGTTAGCTTCCTCCCATAATTGGGGCTTACCAGGGGTTGTAAAAAATCTAATATATATATAGATTCCAAGATTCCAAAACCCATAATTCCAGATTGTGGGGATTGGAAGTCCTGGCAGTCAATATAATTAAAGAGTTTCCCCCACCCCCTCAAACCAAACTTTAAACACAATCACTTTATAAGTGTGATGGCTAATGAGAAAGACCTTTTATTACAGAAGCTATTTGTGAGGTCCAAGTTAAGAATGGGACAAACTTATTATGAAGCAAGCTTGCTCCACTATTATCCCACCAAAGCAGCTCCATCTCTCAGCTCTATCCAATTCACATGAAGGCAATGACTCATCCATCGAAGTCAAATATTAGATAAATATCTATGTGTTTAGGTTTTGTTCTTATGGATTCATTTCTCTGGTCTTGTATACCACCCAGAGTTCATCGGAGTGGGACAGCTATAATACATGTGAATAAGTACAGTTTGAGTTTGAATTGCTGAGTTATGAGAAGCTGATACCTATGGCGGCTAAATCTAGGTTTATCACTTAGCAAGTTTGACAAACCAAATCAACTCACAATTATTCAATAAACCATAGTTAAACCCCATAAGATTTCTAGCAGAGGGGATGGCAAAGCTATTCTCTTTATGCATTAGCACCACAGACTTGCAAATGCACGTGTTTGTTTGAATGCTCCCTGCAGAGTCAGAAGGGACATCTTGCAGAGTTTTAAAAGTGCTCTGTTTATTGGGACATACAATACAGAAGAAGCAAGGGAATCTATAGGGAAGCTCGTTATGGCCCCAACAGCACAACTTTGGCAATAATGAAATGCAATGAGAATCAAGAGCTGGCCTTCGAAGTGTACCTAATGTATACGGTCTTGGCATCTTGAACTTTCAATGAAAGGGAACCTAATAAGGAAGAACGACAGAAAACCAAATACATTGTTTTATTCGTTTTAAATGGGGATCTTTTGTCTCACAAAGCCAGGCTTTCCTTTTAAAACAAGAAAGGCTTTCCTTTTTCCTCCTTATTCACTTATTTCATCTTTATTGCACAGTCACACAACGGAAGGGAAAAATCAGATCTCTTTCTTCATCCAGAATATGGGTTTCCCTTTCAGATCCCGATAAGGTGTTTCAAAAAGCGTCTGCTCTTCAAATGTATTCTCCAAAACCCTGGAAGAGGAGGGTTTCCCAGAGTTTGGCTGGACTACTAAAAAGGCTCTTGGTGGAGGCACTGGAAGTGGGAGGGGAGGAGGAGGAGGAGGAGGAGAGGGTAGAGGAGCTGGGGCAGCAGAGGCGAATGGTGAAGAGTGAACCAGAGCATTCCTGGACTGGGCAGAGGATGGGTGGGGACCTGGCAATGGAAGATGGGGAGAAATGGTAGCTGTCCCTGAATGATAAGAACAAGGAGAAGGCAACGAAGGTGGGGCTACTGAGCAAAAAGGGGAAGAAGAAAGAGGTGCAGCATGCGGTGAAGGAGGGAGGTTTGCTCCAGATCTGCTTTGGTAAGATGCATTTGTATTATGCTTTCCAGACTGTGCAGGAAGCTCCGTCTTATGTTGAGGAGTAGAGAAGTTCTCCAAAAATTCCATAGGTACCAGAGAACTGATGAATCCAGCCCACTGGACGGGCTTGGACAAGCTGTAGCCCAGGTGGGCATAAAAATGCTGTTTGTCGTGTGTGGTGAGATACAGGTGCTGGTAGCGGTGGGCTTTGGCAAAGTTCTCAACAGCTTCCATCAGCTTCCTGCCGTAGCCCTTTCCACGGAGGGCCTTGGCAACCACCACGGTCTCCACAAATAAACTGTTGGATTGGCCAATCACACGGGATAACCTGGCATGTCCCAGAAGTTGGCACTGGGTATTGGACGTCTTCCCTTCTGCAGTTTCCTCCGTTACCCTCAAAGTTCTGATCAATACCAGGCACATGGGAAAGTTGTCACTAGATTTTTGCAGGGAGTGGATACGGGAGGTCCGGCTCCGTTTCCACTCTTCGTTGATGAGGTCAGCACAGGCCTCCAGGAGATCAGGCCTCTTGTGAAGAGGGACTGCTGTGAGCATCTCTGAAACCGAACCCATTCTTCTCACCGTGATGAAACTTCACAAGCGAGAGAGAGAGAGTTTGGTGCACTCCTGAAAGCACAAACACAATGAATTGTGCTTGCAATGCATACTTACTTCCCAGAGAATTAATCATCTCACTGACATTACAAGGAAACTTCAGCAGTTCCTTGCTTTGTTTTGCCTAGGTTAAGCCCAAATTAGCAGCCTCTGAAATACACCCAAACAGCAACAAAGGGACCTAATACAGAAATCCATTTAATAGCTACATACCGAAATAAACATTATTTTCACTACCACCATTCTATTATCCCAGCAATTTCCCCAACCTGCTTCAGTAGTTTCAATAAAGACTTGAGTACAGCTTCCATTCGTGGGCCTGATAGCTGAAAATGATAGGCATTCAAGTAGAAAACAGACAAATTCCTACAAGCTGCTACTTTGAAACTTTCTTTTCATTTTCTTTACTGTCCAAATATAAATTACCATGTGTTAATTAACCAACAAGCAGAAAGTCTGTATGGACTACCAACCTGAATAATTTACACAAATGCAGTAGATTACGTGTACCTGCATGAGATTAAGAGAAAACAGTCTGGTAACCCATATTCTCTCCATTGGAAATAAGATAAATTCTATTGCTGTTAAACCTTTAACAAAAAGAGGAACTTGTTGTGTTTCCTCCTTATCCCACAAGCATAGAAGACCATTATTTTTTCAAAAATATATTACACTCTTGATTAAAACCTTTGCTGAAATACCTGGATCACCTGCTTATAGGCCACAAAAGATGACCTGTAGGTAAAAAAAGCAATCTACTCTAAAGGAACATTCAAGCCCAATTTGCTCTTTTATCTTCTCTCAACGGTCTAGGTGACTCTAGTTAAAAGTTTTAGGTAGGAAGCAGCCTTGCATTTAAGGGGCTGTAATATGACATCACTGATCGGTAATGTCATAATGACTTCACATCTTTGGTCATCACCAGGAGATACCAGCTAAATATAGCTCTTATTATGCCTTCTCATTTCTGCCTGTCATAAATGTAAAGTCCAAGCCCAGAGATGAGACAATGAATCCAATGGAGTTCAATTCTTTATTAGCTTGCACCTAATGGACAGAAACTTACTGGACTAAAACTATATTGTTATAAACTACCTTCTCTCCTACGAGATATATCCTGAGAGATTCTAGGGTGAATTTAGTCCAGCTCAGGACTAAGCAATCTCTTAATCCAGGCTTCTTTGGGAAAGCTCTAAAAATTAACAAAAAACTCCCCCTCTGATGCTGTGAGTGTACATTCCATCACAATAGCCTAGATCACGTCTAAGTAATTAGGGCATGCAGAGTTGCTTGCAGCTCTCATGTTGTCACAATAGTGTGGAATTAGTGGCAGTCTCCTACCATTGTTTGGCAAGAACATGTAGTATTAGTATACTGGAACAATCTTACGTGATCATTTGAGCTCTGGAAGGAACAGCTCAAGCAAATTGTGGGACTGTTTGAATGTTTCTCCAGAGCACAACGCAATACTTCCTCCAATGTCTCCCTGAAGCCATGGATGTGGCAAATTGCAAGAAGGCAGTATGTTGAAACATTCCCATAACCAGTCACAGATGAAGTACTGATGTTTCCAGTTAGACCACAGAGTTGCACATATGTGAGTCAAAAATGAATATGAACACAATTTTGTTGAAGGGAGGCCTTTTCGCTTGAGGATTTGAAAAGAGAGCATCACTCTGTACACTTGGTCCATTTGGGGACGTATGGGGGGACCTCCCCATTATATATCAGTAACAAAGAATAAGAGATCTTATTTGAGAACGCAATCCCTCTAACCCATTTTATTTATAACATTTCTATAGCTGCCCATCTCTCAAGCAATCCTGGGAAGCTCCCAATTAAAAATCAAAAGACACATAAAATTGTTTTACAAAACTTTTAACGTTCAATAAATTAAAACATAAACTATTAAAATAACAATGCAGTTGTTAATAACATGACACCCCTCTGTGCTCATGTGCCATCATCTAATCTCCCAATTTTGGGGAGAAATACTAGGTCTTTGAAGCCTTACAGAAGTCTAAAATAGCCTGCCAAACTTTAGGGCAGTGTTTCTCAACCTTGGCGACTTTACGTCCTGTGGACTTCAACTCCCAGAATCCCCCAGCCAGCTGGCTGTGGAATTCTGGGAGTTGAAGTCCACAGGACTTAAGGTCGCCAAGGTTGAGAAACACTGCTTTAGGGGGAAGAGTGGTCCACAGGGCAGGGGGCTGCCATGGAACAGGAACATTTCCTAGTTCTCATCAGATGACAATTTTATGGGAAGAGACTAGAAATATGCCCATTCTATCTGACCTGGTAGGACACATCTGTCCCTGTACTGCAAATGTTTAAAGGTGAAGACCACCACCTTGAATTGCACCAGAAAGAAACTGGAAGAAGTTACATGGGCTTTCATAGGGGTCTTGTTACTGTGTTTGGTGCTGCATTCTAGACCAGGTGAAGTTTCTGACAAGTATTCAGCACCATGTGGAGCGCACTTCAGTAATCCAAACAGGAGGTGACCGAGGCATAAATAATCATAAGGGAGGCCTGCCAGTCCAGGAAAGGAAACAATTGGTGCACCAGACAAATCTATGCAACCCCCCCCTTTACCACAACTGCCACTTGCTCCTTCAGCAGGAGCTGTGAGGACCCCAGAATCATCCTCTAGGTCAGTCAAGAAAAGTATCAACCCATCCAGAATCAAAAGATGATGAATCATCTTGTCCTGGCATCCTCCCCATCCATACCGTTATAGCCTCCAGGCATTCAACCAGCATTGCCACTGCATCTGAGATGCCATCTAACCCACATGAGATGCTCCAAGGGAGATTGTCCCTCCATCTTTCCTAGTCAGGAATGGTCAGAAGGGATATCAACCATTCACACACTTCTATGTAGGATATTACTTTTGTTCTTTCCTAGACCCCCATGTGCTAAGCAGGCATTAATACCAATCAAGCAGAACCCACATTAAGGAACTACCAAGGAGAAAACCACACCCCACCAACACTGACAAGCAAGCTACTGAATATAAACAGGCAGGAAGCTCTACATTCAGTAGCACCGGTTATGTAAACTAGTTGAGTAATGAAATGTCTGGAAGCAAACAATCAAGATCAGAGAATAAAAAATTTTGTGCGCTGAACCGGCAGTAATACTGGCAGCAATCCACCCCTGCACCAATGTCACTTTAATGTCCACATTCTGGCCCCAAATGGCCCATGTGCCTGCTGGGGGTACAGTTCAGGGTTTTATTTGAAAGTATGTTCACCTGATCTGAAAGGACAAAATAAGTAGAGGTGGTAGGAAGCAACTAACAGGTAGCATTTTAATAAAATAGATAACTGATGGTGTCTCTTTGGCAGACCAAACAGGTACCACCCTCTGTATCAAAACACCACCCAGATATGTCAAAAACTTACTTTTTAAGCATCTTCAACGATATGTTTTTGTTACAATATATGTTGTTATTATGGGAAGAAATTGAGAATTTGGCAACTGATTTACAGTAAAGTATCTTGCAAATGACTTTTGAAGAATGTTCATTATCACTTACTCCAAAACAGGCACAAAAATACTAAACCCATTATTCTATTGAAATTATGCAATGTTATTATAATTGTGCAATGTGTTGTGTTTAGAACCGTGTAACTTGCCTTATATATAGACGTTTTTTAAAAATCACCCTTTAAATAAAAAGAGAAAAATATATCATAATCCTAATGATAATGGCAGAACCACAAATGTTTTGGAAAATTATCCTAATACGGATTAGAACACTGAGCAGAAAACATAATCCCAGGTAAACGTCCTTTTCACTAAGTGGAATTATAACTACCACATCAATTCTAATCTAGAGTAAAACAGGTATCCCTTCCTTGCTTAAATTAGGAATATTTGGCATACTGCATGGAACTGGTTTTTATCAGAATTCTGGAGCTAGATTAGAAAAATACAGGTAACACTATGATAATGATATTGAGAGAAGATAAAAAGAGAGTCGTATTGAGATAGGAGAAATTAACAAGAATGGCAATGGCTTTCTTTTCACTCCTTCCAGTGATCAACATCTGTAGCCTGGCCTCTTCTTCCTAATTTTATCTTGATGTCAATTTCAAATTGCTTTGCTTTAAAAAGACAATAAAGCATTCAAGGTTTGAAAGTTCCAGTCAACCATATTTCTGTTTTTGGGTTCCCTGACCGGGTGAAGATTCTCATCCTCTCTCTTTTAACATTAATACAATACAATACAATAGCAGAGTTAGAAGGGACCTTGTAGGTCTTCTAGTCCAACCCCCTGCCTAGGCAGGAAACCCTATACTGTTTCAGACAGATGGCTATCCAACATCTTCTTATAGACTTCCAGTGTTAGGGCATTCACAACTTCTGGAGGCAAGCTGTTCCACTGGATTAATTGTTCTAACTGTCAGGAAATTTCTCCTCAGTCCTAAGTTGCTTCTCTCCTTGATTAGTTTCCACCCATTGCTTCTTGTTCTACCCTCAGGTGCTTTGGAGAATAGTTTGACTCCCTCTTCTTTGTGGCAACCCCTGAGATATTGGAACACTGCTATCATGTCTTCCCTAGTCCTTCTTTCTATTAAACTAGACATACCCAGTTCCTGCAACCGTTCTTCATGTTTTTTAGTCTCCATTACTTAGGGAAAGGTGTGTCTTCCTCAGTTATAACTCTCAAAAATCAACCCACCTTATATGAGAATGTGACCCTTATAGATCCTGTCCCTTTACAGTGTAGGCATCAAAAGTGTTTAGTTCTCAGCCCTCCTTTCCAAGACTTAAGACTCCCTACTCCTCTACAACATCTGATCAAGGAAGCCAAGAATACCCTTGTCCAAGTATTAGTGCATAAGAAAAGTGCAAATTGGAAAAAAGCACCAAATACCTTCAATGAATGGGAGTTGCCTCAAGTAGCACCACCTTTCTCCTTAGAAATTTCTGCTTGCCAATTAACACCTAGTAGAAACAGTTTGGTTGCTTTCACAAGAGCACAGCAGGAACTAAACATGCTCTTCTTGTCCATTACTTCTTTTAAAGAAAGAAGAAGCTGCTAATTTGAATACTGGTAAAGGGGGAAGTATCTGAAATGTAAATTAAGTCTTGAACTGCCCAGCCCTTACAATCAAAGGATGGCACCTTTCACAGCTCAACAATCAAAAGCAACCAGCAAATTCTAAGGGGCTCTCAAATGAATCTTTTAAAACTATCCTTACTGGCAAGTCCAAATATAGGCAAAAGCATTCTAACAATCTGTTCTCTAATGAATCCAGTAAACGTTAGCAAGCAACATCCGGTCCTATTATAAAGACATCAATCAGGTTACCTAGGGTGGAACATCGGACAAAGTAGGGCAGGTTGAACAGGCAAACTAGATTGACAGCTTACCATGCCCTAATTCCTTCCCAACATTTCTGCATTCAGTCAGACTATTAAAGTGTGGACACAAACAATGCTGACTGTACAATGGGACCTTAGCTTAATTTATAGTGCCTTGTCATCTCCATCTCTTTGTTAAGTGTGTGGCATTGAGGCACACCCTCGGTTTCAGATATTTATTGACCAACTGAATGAAGAGAGCAAGAAAGGCGCAAATAACTTTTCTGTCAGAAATCACTGTTTCAATGCTTTCCTTTCCAAGCCATCACAGTCCCATCCTATATCTCTTAGCTGTTTCTTAGAATCCTGAGGGTGAAAGAACATTGGGTCATGATGATCTTAAACTCACACATCAATTTAAGTTCTTATAAAGTTCAGAGAGTCCTTGTCACACTCAGACATTTCATACATCCATGTATACAAACGTAACATTCTTTCCTTGTTTATTTTGTATCTTTTTTCTTTAATGTGTTCACATTCTCTCTCTCTCTCTCACACACACACACACACACACACACACACACACAC